TAAAGATGGGGTCAAAGTCAAAGTTACCAAATAAGCATGCAAACAAAATTTTATAGGGTTCAATTGATCTTCGTCCTAAAAAGAGACAGTATAATGATATAATTTTTTTGTTAAAAATTAAGTCTCAAAACAATATAGTATTTGTATTCTAATGTGATATACTATTAGGGAGTCCGCCACATTAACACCTGCAGCGGAAGTAAGATGCACAGCTTTGCCGCAGAATGGATCTAAACCAATGTTTTGATACCATATTAGGAGAATTGAAGAAAAGTTGCGTGTGAGAAAATCAACAAAGAAGAGTAATTAGAATTCTAATTAACTCAACGGAACCATATGTAGTTTTACTATAGTATCGAATGCAAATGCACGTTCAGATAACAAACCATTATAGTTTGAAAACTGATATTTGTACTGGATACTTGATTATTGTTTTCAATATAGTTGATTGACTTGATTCTTAGTCTGTTCGTTTCATCGGCGGCGGCAGCGGCTGTGGCAACCGCAGCTTTTAATCGTTTGACGCTGATTTTAATTAGCGTCCAAAATTTTTAGCCGCAGAACGCAGCGATCTGCGGCGACCAAACGAACAACCTCACCTGCGGTTGCCGCTGCCGCTGCCGCAACTACCTGCGGCGACCAAACGAACAGACTATCTATATATGTTTTATATAATTGAAATAAACGAACAAAACCATTTTGACAAAAAAAAATAAACGAACATAACCTCCACATTGTTTCGACTTTTCTCATAGAGAGAGAGAGGAATAAAGAAGTTATGATTAAAGAAGGTGCGTAAAATAAGAGATAGAGACACTCACTACCTCACTTTTTCATTGATTCATGCACTCCTTTCATTTTAATAGCTCTCTTCCAATCAAATTTCATTTTCTGTCCCACTCTCTCCATATCCCTTCTTCTTATTTTAATTTGTTTTCATATTTATTGTTTTATTCGACCGTCTTGTCCAATCAATGCATGTCGTTGAATATCTACTTACTTTAAGATTCCAAATTAAATGAAGAAAAAGAGAAGAATAAAGGTCTCTATCAACTTCTATAATCTATCTACTTAAATTAATAATCCTGGATTGGCGGAGAGAATAAATTTGTTTTTTTTTTTTTTTGTTTTTGTTACATGTTGGTTAATCAATTTTATACACCAAATAGCAAACTACATCCGATACACAGCTAAAATCCTACTATAAAGCTTAACTTTTACAAAATTATTCATTTAAAAATCTAATAATAGACTATTTTTATAGGCTATATTAAATTAAATGAAAATGTATAATCGTAGATTTTAGACAAGTAATGTCACTAAATCACGGAAAAACCGAAAGTGGACAAAAGAAGACAAAAGGCATTTTATGTATTTGTGATCCCTACTCATATTGATGTATTATTATGTTCTTTCAACAACAAAAAACCAATTATTATCAAGCAGCAGTAAATAAAAAACAGAGTAAAGCTGGTTTCTCCAACGGCTCAAAACTGCCGCCAAATATAAGATACCGTTAATAAAAAGACACGTCATTTCCGACAGAAAACGACGCGTAGGAGAAAACGTGTCCGTTTCACCAAGAAGATTGACCGACACGTGGCTTGGCGTGATTTTGTGTGTTTAAGTCTTTGAACGCGTTTCCATAACGGTCATCAAAACGCTTTAACCGACCGCACTTGATGAAGTTGAAACTTCGAATTGCTTTAATTATTTTTTGCTAACGCAATCCTAAAATTAGACGACCTCTTTATATTATCCAAATGTTATTTCGCCCTAATTAAACAAAAATTATCAGCAATTATTTCGTAAATTGTTTATTGAAATTTGATACAAAATGTAAGTACTATATATTATCTTCAAAATTGCTTACTGTTGCATATGAAAACCTTTTCTAAAAGTATTACAAAATTTTAAAAATGTAAGTACTATTTTTGTGTGTGTGTGGTCATTTTCATTAGTTAATAGGATTGATTAAATGTTGGTATTTTTTTCTTTCTATAACTTCTCGATGTTAATAACTAAAATCATATATATGGTTATATAACCATTACGGGTTCTATACTTTTATGTACTAATTATGTTATTAGTTTGATGATTGGTCGAAGATACACATTTAATCAAAAACAATCTGGTAGTTTTCCATGCAATTCGTTAAAAACACACACATGTAATCAATGAAAAGGATAGGTCATGTTGATACATTTCTGTTTATTTTCTTGTAAAACGTATATAGTTTATTTCAGCTACGTACCATTTGTGGTCAATTATTCTTCTTTAACTATAAAAAGGTGTTTATATAGAATATATATGTTGAAGGAAGTTTCTTAGAATTTGTTTTGGAAGAAAAATAGAAAAAAGGAACTCAATTCCAATTTTGTTAGCTCGATCGAAGCCTCGAATTAAAATTTGGTACGTTGGTTGATTTGGTATCTTCCAGAAGTCTTCGGAAAACTCGAGAATGTGTTTCATATTATTATGTTTTAAAAGAACGGTGGGAAATGATTGTATATGTAAACATTTTTACACGTGAAAATGAATGAAACCTATCAGTGATAGAAAAATACAATTCGAGAAGTTTTTTTTGGTTCACTTCCGGTATTTATTCTGTGAAGTTAACGGATGTAGGCCCATCTAAAGTTGGCCCTAAATATTAGAACCCAACGCAAATAAATTGTCACTTTTCGACAATGTTGAGTTTCCGGGAAATAATGATGGGCCTAAATGGCCTACGTGTGTGGGACGATTGTTTTGATTTTGCATGTGTTCATAACTTAAAAATGTATCTCAAAATCTTATTTCCATACCTCTATAAGAATTCAAACTTCTAAAAGGCCTTAAAATTGTAAAAGATGTTAACGCGAGACCAGCGGTCATAACTCAGCTATATTATAAGAACGGATTGCGAGGCTTGGCCGAACGCTAAACAAGTTGGTCTGCTCATGAAATGCAACATTAGCTGGATCTTACGAGACTACCGTACGTGGGAAACCAAGTTCCATGGACAATGTTCACGTTTTTAGGCCAGTTTTACTAGTCTTCACTGGGCAGTGGAAGTGGTGAGAGCTCTTCACATCTAAATAGAGCTGGCCTCTTCGAAGAATGAGGTTTCACTTTGATGCAAATCCCCTTTAGCTCCATTGTTTTTAGAAACCCCTCAGGCGAATCACGAGACAGATTTATCTTATTTGAGAATAACATATTCTCTACCCTGCTTTTGCTGGTAGATCTCTACTCTGTTTATGTCAAACCATTAATAGATGTTAATACGAACCCGAAATTCGAAAAACGTATAATATGCATGTAAATGATTGAATAACAGTAAACGAAAATAAAAACAATCGTATCAATAATTATTTGACTTTGTCGAGTAGTGATTTAATATTTTTATCAATACAATGGCCAACACGTGTGTATCTGAAACTGAAAGTGTACATACTAACATTTATGGTCGAAAGGAACTCGTGTCATCAAGTGAAGTAAAACTTTCCTTGTCCTTGTGTAGGTTACACAACGAGATATTAAAACAACAAACATGACACATGCATACACCGTATATATGTGTCATGTTTATACATATACCGATATACGAGCAAAAACAAGCATTACTCGTTAAACATGAGCCGTGTAAAAATAATTAACAATATTTTTCTCCCTTGTCTTGAAAGTTGATTGTGTTCAATTCTTCTTCGATAGGATTTACTCATTTAAAGAAAAATAGCATCTCTTGTATAATTGGTATGTAAGTCTGATCTTTCCTTCCAATGACATAATGATACAGGAAACTGTTGACGACGAATAGATAAATAAAGGATCCAGAAAATCACCTAATGTATATAATACATTATTAGAAATATACTTAGAATAAATGAGTGACATACTGACATTAGTATTCTTTATGATTGTATATTAGATACTTAGATGAAAATGTACTCAAACGAGAAAAATGTAATAAACGAAAATAATTACAAGGAAAATCCTCAAAGATAAAAAGTTTAACTACTTAAACAATATAATTATAAATTCACTTTATTCTAGTTTCGACGAAGACGGTGGATTCTGTTGTTGAATAATCAGATATTTGATTCACCGAGATTTCAGATTAGAATATCTAAAATAATTTTGAAAATACTGGAGAGGAACGAGAAACACGATAATAATAAAAAAGAAGAAGATAAAATCCTAACAAACACAAAGATTTATGCAGCAGTAGCAGCAGGCAACGGACTTATTAGTTATTTAACGAGTCTATGGCACAAAAAACAAATGTGAACCAATAAAATGGAAAACAAACTATATAACCAAAAGAAGAAGAAGAGTTTAACAAAAGTAAAAGCTAAAGAAGAAGAATATAACCACAAATTGGAATAAAATAATAGCATCGTCGATATTGTCACTTTATATTCCTTTATACGTAACATATAGATTTTACTTAACACGACTTGCATCGAAATATTAAAATTGTAACAATATAATATCATCAAGTGTGTGCAGTTTATTTTGTTTCGATATCTCTGCTAAAAATATCACATTTATTAGAATTAATTTGCTACACAGCCAGAAATATTGAAAACCTATACAATAACTTTGGTAGAAAAATGGTAAATAAGTGTTAATCATTTTGTTACACGGTTTAACGAAAATGTCATCCGCAATCATCTATCTTTATTGCTAATCATACATGTATAAAACAATGTGTCATTGGATAAAATGAGATAAAATCTAAAAAATGTTAATTTATCTTAAGATTTTTTTTTGCAAGTAAAACTAGATTAGTATAATTTGAACATTTACGTAAATATATAAGTGAGTGTGAACTATTTATTGAATTTATTCAATATTCCATTTTGCCCCATTATTTAGGGGCTACGTAAACTATGAGGCATTCATGCAAAGAATAAAAAAGATAGGGGACTCAAATATAATTAATTATGTCACTTAGAAGAAGAATAATTCTCATTTGTTTTTTTCCAGTCTTATGAATGAAAGTTAGCGTCTTAGCGAAGTAGAAAAGGCCAAAATAGAGAGCGGCCAAAACGGAAGCAAAAAAAACCTCATCATTCTTCATCTCCTCTCTTCTTCATGCTCACCGCCATAACCACACCACACACAAGTTTTCTGTAATCTCAAACTCTTTTATGGGCTAATTAATACATTTTCACTAGAAACGTCTACGAGAGATAAGCACTTGTTCTAATTATTTTGTGAAAGTTCTTGAATGGGTTTCTTTCCACTAAGAGTGTTACATTTTTGGATTTAGCCGAATTGTTTTGATCATCTTTCGTCAAAGTTTTGAATTTTACGAAAATCTACGGGAAAATTAAGGAGAAAACTTTCTCCTCCTTGTTTTGTTTGGTCTAAATTTTCTCTGTTTTTGGTGTTTTTGATCCAATGGCTACGGTCACTGAGATGCCCACTGATGTTGTTGTTGTCGACGATGTTAATGGAATTAGTACCAAAAGTGATGGCGAAAAGATCATAGATGAGGGAATTGAGAAGAGCTCGATCACGTGTTCTAAAACCGAGACTGAATCCGAGCTCAAACCCAAATCCGAGTTTGATATGCAGAAGCTTGTGGCTATGTTCAAGAAACTCAATCCTTTGGCGAAAGAGTTTTTTCCTTCTTACTATGATCCGAAGAAGAACCATCACGTCGGGAAAGCTAATCAATTTCTATCGGCTGACGATTTTGCCACCACCAATAAACAATCTGGTGAAGAATTTGATCCTGATGCCAAAAAGGATGACAATACCCGCAAGGTAAAATTTTTGAAGATAATTTGGATTTGATCATTTAATCTGATGATTTCGATGTGAGTTTTGTTGTAAATCTTTAAACTTTGACTAAAGGGTTCTGTTTACTGGTATTTGTGATTACAGAGAAGAAACTATAGCCAAGGGAGGAGGAGGTTAACTGGAAGAATTTCTAAGGCTCAAAGAGAGGATAGTATTAGAAGAACAGTTTATGTTTCCGACATTGACCAGAGTGTAAGTTTTTATATAATCTTTTAAGGTTCTTGGAAGATTCGAGTTATTTTGCATTAATTAATGTAACATAAATCTGCTTTGTGATTTAGGTGACTGAGGAGGGTCTTGCTGGCTTGTTTAGTAACTGTGGACAAGTAAGATGATCCTTAAAGTTTATATCTTTCTCCTTCATGTGTTTTGGACAATGTGTTAAATTTAGACTAGTTTTAAGTCTGTGCCAGAGGTAATACTGAGCTTTAAAAGCCTTTCTGTTGAAAATGAGAATGTGTAGCAAGAAATTTCATGATCAAAATGTTACTTTGGTGGTATATAGTTGTGTGTGTGACGAAAGGTTGAGTTCTTCTTCTTTTGTTAAGGTTGTTGACTGTCGAATTTGTGGCGATCCGCATTCAGTTCTTCGATTTGCGTTTGTTGAGTTTGCTGATGACCGTAAGTTTGGCTGCTGGAATCTTTAAATGCTTTAACAAAAATGTCCATGTCACTTTTTAACCCATAGTATAGTATTCATTCACATAGTAAATTTTTTTGTTTCTACAGAGGGCGCACGAGAAGCTTTAAGCCTTGGTGGAACAATGCTCGGGTTCTACCCGGTGAGGGTCAAAAACTGCCATTCTACCAGTGAATCCCACATTTCTTCCAAGGGTAAATGCTCCGATGTTCAGAAGTTCTACTACTCAATACTCAATTTTGTTTCGAGTTTTCGAATCTTACTTTGATATCTACTATGTTGTGGTTAATTCAGTCAGAAGATGAAAGGGAGATGTGCACAAGGACAATCTATTGCACAAATATCGACAAGAAGGTAAATACTGAACAATCTACAAAAAAAAGTCTGTAATACATTATTTTATTAGTATCTCCTGGTTTAAGATTCTTACGACTGCAGGTTTCTCAAGCTGATGTGAGAAACTTCTTTGAGTCTGCATGTGGTGAGGTCAGAACAGAACCTTATACCTACTTGATTTCTCTCTCAATTAACCTGAATTTGGAGTACAGCTCAAATTGTTTTCTAATATACGCAGGTAACTCGCCTGAGGCTTCTTGGCGATCAATTGCATTCAACTCGCATAGCTTTTGTTGAATTTACTCTGGTGAGCTCTTTTCTCCATGAATGTGATTTAATACATTCCCTGCATTCTCTTTTTTTTGTTTGCTCTTATTACTGATGACAAAATAATTGACACAATGGCATTGTTTTCACCTGCAAACTCAATGTTATATTTGTTTTTCTTTTCGAATGAACAGGCAGATAGTGCACTTAGGGCGCTTAATTGCAGCGGGATGGTCGTTGGATCCCAACCGATAAGGTAAACTACCATCAATGCAGTGTCTTAAATCATTCTCTGATTATGTCAATGGTTTAACACTTGGCTCTGTTTGTTTTTCAGGGTAAGTCCATCAAAGACACCAGTGAGGCCAAGAATCACTCGACCACCATCGACCAACTAGAAAGAGGCCCGACTAGCTGACTGCAAACATTTCATTTCTTTCAGCAATTGTTTTTTCCATTCTCTACGTTTCAGAACAGTTATCTCAAGTTTTAGTAGCTGGAAACACTATGATCCTGCTTCTGAATTTGGAGTTCTTGTTAGGCTCTGTCTTTTCGAGTTCCAGTGAGATACTTTCATCTGTTTCATCATCTTTCTCTCTTAAGGGATTTTTGGAGCATTTGCTTTTCAAAGTTCTTGCCTTTTCACAACATGTTTTTTTGTTTTTCCAAGGTTAGATCAACAGTGCTGAAGAAATTACTATTTTGAGATTGAATAGAAGAAAAAGCTGTAAAATTTGGAAATCTGTGAGAAGAGCTCCAATGGTAGTATAAACTGTGAATTTAAAATGTCGTGTACATCAAGTAAGGTCTAAATAAATAATCTTTTCATCAAGAGAAGATCTCGCCGTCAATTTCCACATGTGGAATGTTCAAAACCTTGAAGAACTCTGTTTCTGCTTCAGCAAAATTCTCAGACAACAATGAACATGAGCTTATTCTCAAACAAGACAAAGGAGGAAGATCTTCATCTATCGATATCTGTAGCTTATCACAGCCGTTGATCTCCATCGTCTCAATAGCTTTTGTATCTTGAAACCCTTTTCGATTCAGAGTCTTGAGGTTCTCGAAACGACTAATCCTCAGAGAAATAATCCCTTTTGGCAATAACCCTTCATCTGGAAACGATTCAATGTCTTCGTTACCTCCTTCAATCTCAAGATTTCGAAGATTTTCCAAATCTCTCAATCCCCATTCGATTCTCGGTGTAAGCTTGTCGCAAATGCTGATGCAAAGTGTTCGGAGATTACTCGGAAACCCTCCACCTGGGATCGTCTCGATTTCTGGGCATTTGACTATAAACAGTGACAAGAGAGAAGTGAGTCCGAACAATTTCTCCGGTAAAGCTCGGAGCTTTTTGCAGTTAGAGAGTAACATTGAAGAGAGTTTCGGTGTTGGAAGTCCTCCTTGTGGGAAAGTTACCAGATTTGGACAATCCCTAATTTCAAGAGACTCGAGAGCGATACGATCGTCTCCAAGTCCTGCGTGAATTGAGAAAGTTTTGAAGCTTTCACAATCCCTAATCGAGAGGCTTTTCAGCTTCGGAAACAAGGAGAGAGGGAAGTTGACGAGATTGCTGCAGCTACTTCCGATGAACAGGTATTCGAGCTGTGAGTAACTTCGTGTTGGCTGCAAACTCTCTGCGAAATCTAGTTTCTTGCAGTCTCTTATGTATAAGGTTTTCAATGTGGTTGGAGGGTGGCTTCCAGGGAAAGATTCTAGAGAGTGACAAGCAATGATGATCAGTTCATGGAGATTTGGATTGCTTTCTGTTAAGTTCTCCGGTAAGGAAGTGAGTCCATCGCAGCTGTCGATGTGGAGTGACTGTATATTTTGAGGAAGCTCCATGAGGTGAGAGATCTCTGTCACTTTCAAATAGTCCATGTCTGTTTCATCATCATATTGTGAAAGCTTTTTGTTATCTGTATCACTTGATGGTGGACTCCGAACAGAAAGCTTTCCATATGGCTGGTACTGGTAGCTAAGCCTACTACTTCCAAGAAGACCTGAACCTTCATTTTTGGGATCTGGAAGAAGTGATGTTCTTGATATATACGGACTTAACGAGCTAGGTATATCCGAGATATATCCTGAGTATCTTGCCGAGATCACTGCAGGTTCTTCAAAATGCTGAGGTAAGCTTCCAAGTTGAGTTTCATATTGGTCGAAATCTTGTGTTTGTGACAGTGGACGATCCTTTGGCAAAGATGACAAGCTTGATGTCGAAGTTACTTCATTGTCATCATTACTTTGACTACTTGAAGCAAAACCTGGCTGAGCACTGGTACTTGCATCAGATTTTGAATTCCCTGTAGGGGAAGACAGTTCCCTTCTGCTCATAGAGGGAATGCTGGTTGGACTTTCTGGAATATTTGTCAGACTCCTTCTGGAGGAATGTTCTCCTCCAGCAACTGCTCTTAGGGGACAATCAGAGATGGTGACTTCAGTGGAAGAAGGGAGTCCTTCTGGAAATTTTTTTGTTAAGCTGGGGCATCTTTGTATTATGAGTTTTTGGAGGCAAGGAAAGATCCCACCTTCTAGTTCCGGACAAATCCATTCTTCCCATCTTGGCATGCCATAGAACTTTAGAGTTTGCAAGGATTGAAACGGTACACAGCTAAGGTTGTTCTCACCGAAGAAGAAGTCTATACCAACCTTCTGCAGAATGTTAAATTTTTCAATGCTGAGATACTTGAGTGAAGGCAACTGCCCCAGTGGAGGCAGTGATATGCAGAGGTTGCAGCTACTGAGAGTGACGGACGCAATACCGAAGAATGAAGAATCGCCCAACCACTTCGGAAATGCTCCACCCTGATAAGATTCAATGCAGAACGTTTTCAAGTGTGGATGGGGTTCTAGCATCCTTAGGACCTCTTTCTGGTCACAGGCCAATGCATTAAAACTACCAGGGACGAAGCCAGAACCTTTGACAGTCCACTTCAGGATTAACTCGTCAAGGAATGGCTTTCTTTTCAAACCAGCGTCTTTTGCTTCTGAGGCAAAAGCCACATTTTGTAGCTCAGAGATGCGAAGTGTCCCTCGGAGATGAGAAAGTTCTTTGAGCTCATGCAGCCCGGCACCACTCAGCCTTCCTATAGCAAAATTTGATAACTTCTGCAAGCTTCGCAGCTTTTTTATTCCTGGTGGCATCTCTACCAAAGGAGTGCCAACGAGATCAAGGAAGCGCAAATTGATGAGTTCGGCAATGCTTTTTGGCAGGCTTGTGAGGTCACGACAATTTGACAACAATAGTGTCTGCAGATTACATAGAGTACACACAAACTCTGGGAGATCTTTTATTTTGGTGCTTGACAAATCTAGATACCGTAACAGCTTCAAACCTTTTAATGATTTAGGCAAGTTGGTTATCTGATAATGAGACAAGCTAAGAATTCGTAGGCCGCTCAATGCATGGAGCAAAGGATTCAAAACTTTTTCTGTTAGTTGGAGAGATTCAAGACTTGTTGGCGAGTTGAACGGAAGAATGGTTCTCAGAAACTCAGCTCCAGAGATGGACCTGAAAGCCACGGAAGCATCACATTGGCTTCTAGAAAACGAAAAATGTCGAGTTGTGCTTGGTATCTCCGGAATGTTGTCATCTTCCAGTCTGAAACAAAAATCTCCTGAAACAGCTTTTGCCAAATCATTCATAAGATCATGCATCACAAAGCTCGTCATGGTGATATCCAATCTCTGAAAAAAAGATTGAGCAACTAAATCACCAAGGTAATCATTTCCAATATCTTCCAATCTTCTGCTGCTCCTTGGTTGGTATAAGAGGTCTATTGCCATCCATAGGAGTATTAATTCCTCCCTATCGAAAATATGACCCTTGGGGAATATTGAGCAGAGGGCAAAGCATCGCTTAAGTTGAGCAGGAAGAGAGTCATAGCTTAGTTTAAGAACTGGAAGGATACTGTTGGTGTAGCTTGAGAAATTCTTTGATACAGCATACCAGTCGTCAGGATTTGGCTTTGAACGGAGATGAGATGCAATGGCTCGTGCAGCTAATGGCAAGCCCTTGCACTGTTCTGCAATCCTTTTGCCAATTCCTTCTAGTTCTTGGTTGATAGAACCGACTGATATATTTCCAAATGCAAATCTAGAGATCAGCTCCCAACATTCTTCATTAGTCATCAACTTCATTTGGTAGATTTTTTCAGCCTTTGCTACTGTGGAGACAATTTCACTTCGTGTGGTTAGAACAATCTTGCTTCCTTCCTCTGCATCAGTAAAGGCGACCTGGAAACTTTCCCATTCTGAATCACTTTCAGACCAAAAATCATCCAGAACAAGTAAAAATCTCTTCCCCGAGAGTGTTTTCTTCAGCTGAATTTGAAGTGAAGGTAGATCCTCAGTATTAACTGCACTTGAAGTGATATCCTGCAGAACGGCTTTCGTAACCGTGAAGACGTTAAAGTTTATCCCGGCAGAGATCCACATTTTAACATCAAAATGTTCTGTCACCCTGTTGTCATTAAAAACTATCTCTGTCAAGGTAGTCTTTCCAACCCCTGGCATACCAACTACGGAGATCACAGTTGGTTTCCCAGTGCTTATTTCATCATCAGAAAGCAGCAAATTGACTAACGCTAGCTTATCTTCCACTCGCCCGACCACTCTGCCTTGTGGAAGATCATCAGGTCTTGACCGTGATGCTTGTCTCCATTGTGGTTCTCGAGTCTCGCTATATTCTTTCAATCCAATAACTTCAATGTGTTTCACATGATGTTCCAGCAGTCTAACTACTTTTTCCATCTTTGGTTCTATCTTTTTCTGGATGGTTTCTCGACCAGCCATGAGATTCTGGAATAGTCCTCCTAAGCCTCCTGCTTCAGCTACTACTCTTCTCCGCAAAGCTTCGGTTAGCAACTCATCAAGGACATCCTCTGCCTGGAAGAAAGCATCTTTGATTCCTGTAAGCCAATGTTTTATTTCCCGAACATGTTCTGCTCTCTGCTCAGCATCCGCAAGCACCGGGTTCGCAGTCACCAAAGCAACCTTCAATCTCTTCAGCAATGCACTGGAGGACTTTCCTTTACATAGTTCGACCAATTCTTGAGAAGTATTAATCCGTTCAACCATCACGTTCGCACAATTTGATAAATAGGAGTTCGCCATGTTTTCCCTGTAACTTGTTGGAGCCAAGGAGTTGCAACAAGTCTCACAAGAAAAACCCAAGCCAATTATTGGAATAAGCAAGCAGAAAAGGGTTTGTTGACTTGCTGTTCTTTATGCAATTCGTCAGCTGGCCTGCAGCAAATGATAATAATGTCAAGATTCTTGAGATGATCTTCTTCCATTTGATCATGAGATTCATTAGTTTGCAGACATTTTCCCTAAAACTGCTATTTACATCCCATTTTCTAAAAGTGTAATTACATTGTTTTTTGCAGTGGCCATGGAGCATTCAACGAGTCACATTCAAGAAAAAGTAGACAAACTAAGGGGGAAGTAAGGTGAATCTGACCTGATTTTTTTCTTTCTTTTTTGCTCTGTTTGAAGTTTACTCTATCTCGCTTGTGTTGTCTTCTTCCTTGCCCTCTTATTATGTTCTACGTTGTGTCTAAACTTTAGAACCTTTGTGCAGCATTTAGATCTATCAGACGAGGAAGCCAAAAAGGGTTTGGCTGCATAATATCCCAATGTTCCTAAGAAGCTCTTGGGGAAGAAATGGTCCTGCCAATCTCTCGGTTCAACCAATAAGTACCACATGACATGACGCGAGTTTTCTTATATATCACACCATCTTTTTTTTTTTTTTTTTTTTCTTTCTATCTTCTCTAATTTATCTATATTATCGGCAAAAGATTTGACAGATGGTGTTGAATTCACCACAGTTCTGCATTCCAACCTAAAACAACAAATCAAAAAAGTAAATTTGAATTAAAATTATGTTTCATACAATATCTTTTTGGTCATGATATTTATCTCTATTTACAAGTTTTGTTCCTTAAATTTACAAGTCTAATCTGGGCTCCAGAAAGACATTGTAGACCCTATAGGAGACAAAAAACATTTAAAGGTCTTAGCTATATATGAAAGAAGACTCCAAAATGTGCATCCGTTGATTTAACTTATGGTTTTGCATTTTTGTGTAAGATTGACTTTGTCTTAGACTAAGACAATGTAAGACTTTTCATGCCAGCTCACGATGGAATCAATCTAGAATTTAATATTTTGTTTGTTTGTTGAAAGATGAAACTTTGTTAATTTGAAGTCGAATTCTACCTATTATTTAATTTTCCACTTGTAACTGATCAGAATTTTCAGAGTATTTTTCGCAAGTCAAATTGAACATTCCTCTGCTATTTTTAATCTAAGTAAATGATTTTGACTAATTCATAAGTTTCGTCCTTTTCAGGATATCATCAAGTTTCTCCATGGAAATGCTGGCAACTTCCAATCATTTTCGGGGTAGTTTCAGCTGGTGATTGTAGAATACATTTCGGTGGCATGATTCATCGTGTGTTTTATCAAGTCAACTCAGTAAACGAATTTCATTCCCTTGTTTGATTAAGGTTAGTCTCTCTGAATTTTCCCACCAAACTGTTATGACCACTTGCTTTGTAATTTCTTAGTATTTGGAATCTTTGTGAATCAAATTATTTGAGGAGGATAACACTGAACAAATAAATAGCCTGCTGTGAAGTGGTTCATCCTGAGAAATTAATCTCCCAGTTCTTGATTTCGTCTTTGTCTCTTGTTTGTTTTGTTTTTCCAGAAGGCTTTGTGTGTGGAAAGACAGACGAGATGACCGGCATAGAAGGGATGTTTCTCTCCGCTTTTTTACAAGCTCTCTTCCAGACGCTGCTGTCTGAGCCTTTCAAGAGCTTCTTCAAGAGGCGAGAACTGAATGAGAATGTACTCGAGAGGCTCAGCACTGCGTTGTTGACAATAACTGCTGTTCTGATTGATGCTGAGGAGAAGCAGATTACAAACCCGGTGGTGGAAAAATGGGTCAACGAGCTGAGAGATGTTGTTTACCATGCTGAAGATGCTCTTGATGATATTGCTACAGAAGCTCTGCGTCTCAACATAGGAGCTGAATCTTCTTCCTCCAACAGGCTGAGACAGCTTCGTGGCAGAATGTCCCTGGGCGATTTTCTTGATGGGAACAGTGAACATTTGGAGACCCGGCTTGAGAAGGTCACAATAAGGCTCGAGCGTTTAGCCTCACAAAGAAATATCCTGGGTTTGAAAGAGCTTACTGCAATGATACCCAAACAAAGGTTGCCAACGACATCTCTTGTGGATGAATCTCAAGTGTTTGGTAGAGCTGACGATAAAGATGAGATCATAAGATTTTTGATTCCTGAAAATGGAAACGATAACCAGTTAACCGTTGTAGCTATTGTTGGAACTGGAGGGGTTGGCAAAACCACACTTTCACAACTCCTATACAATGATCAGCGTGTTCAGAGTCATTTTGGAACTAGAGTCTGGGCTCATGTCTCAGAAGAGTTTGACGTTTTTAAGATCACCAAAAAGGTTTATGAGTCCGTTACTTCCCGACCTTGCGAATTCACCGACCTGGATGTACTTCAAGTCAAATTGAAGGAGAGATTAACAGGAACAGGCTTACCGTTTCTGCTTGTTCTAGATGATCTGTGGAATGAAAATGTTGCTGATTGGGAACTTCTACGCCAACCTTTTATACATGCTGCTCAAGGGAGCCATATTCTTGTGACAACACGAAGCCAACGTGTTGCATCCATTATGTGTGCTGTCCATGTACATAACCTTCAGCCACTATCTGATGGAGATTGCTGGTCGTTGTTTATAAAAACTGTATTTGGTAATCAAGATCCGTGCCTAGATCAAGAAATTGGAGATCTTGCGGAAAGGATAGTGCACAAGTGCCGTGGCCTGCCTTTGGCTGTGAAAACACTTGGTGGCGTTCTACGGTTTGAAGGTAAAGTCAAAGAATGGGAGAGAGTTTTAAGCAGCAGGATTTGGGATCTTCCAGCTGATAAGAGCAATCTACTTCCAGTTTTACGGGTAAGCTATTACTACCTTCCAGCTCACTTGAAACGATGTTTTGCCTATTGCTCAATATTTCCAAAAGGGCATGCATTTGAGAAGGAAAAGGTAGTTCTTTTGTGGATGGCAGAAGGTTTCTTGCAACAAACGAGAAGCAATAAAAATCTAGAAGAACTCGGAGATGAGTACTTTTATGAACTACAATCAAGGTCGCTTTTTCAAAAGACCAAAACGAGATATATTATGCATGACTTTATCAATGAGCTCTCTCAGTTTGCTTCAGGAGAGTTCAGCTCGAAGTTTGAAGATGGATGCAAACTTCAGGTGTCAGAAAGGACCAGATATTTATCGTACTTACGAGATAATTATGCAGAGCCTATGGAGTTTGAGGCTCTTCGCGAGGTCAAGTTTCTCAGAACTTTTCTACCACTCAGCCTCACAAATTCTTCTCGGTCATGCTGCTTAGATACAATGGTCAGCGAGAAGTTACTTCCAACACTTACCCGCTTGCGTGTTTTGTCTTTATCACATTACAAGATCGCGAGGCTGCCCCCAGATTTTTTCAGGAACTTAAGCCATGTTCGGTTTTTGGATCTCTCTCTCACTGAACTAGAAAAACTTCCGAAATCCCTTTGTTATATGTACAACCTCCAGACACTTTTGATCTCCTACTGTTCTAGCCTGAAGGAGCTACCTACAGACATTAGCAACCTCATCAATCTGCGGTATCTTGATCTAATTGGGACGAAGCTAAGACAAATGCCGCGGAGATTTGGTAGATTGAAGAGCCTCCAGACTCTTACAACTTTTTTCGTGAGCGCTAGTGACGGGGCAAGGATTTGTGAACTTGGAGAGCTTCATGACCTTCATGGAAAACTCAAAATAATTGAGCTACAACGAGTTGTGGATGTTGGTGATGCTGCAGGAGCAAATTTAAACAGCAAGAAACATCTGAAGGAGATAGATTTTGTCTGGAGAACTGGATCTAGTAGCTCAGAGAGCAACACAAATCCTCACAGGACGCAAAACGAAGCTGAAGTTTTTGAGAAGTTACGCCCGCATAGTCATATCGAGAAACTCACCATTGAGAGATACAAAGGAAGATGGTTTCCTAAGTGGTTAAGTGATTCTTCATTCTCAAGAATCGTGTGTATACACCTCAGAGAGTGTCAATACTGTTCCTCCTTGCCATCTCTTGGTCAACTACCAGGTCTCAAAGAACTTAACATTTCAGGAATGGCCGGGATTAGAAGCATAGGTCCCGAGTTCTATTTCAGCGATCTACAACTGCGGGATAGAGACCAACAGCCGTTTAGATCACTTGAAACACTGCGATTTGATAACCTGCCAGATTGGCAAGAGTGGTTAGACGTAAGGGTCACAAGAGGAGACTTGTTCCCTTCTCTCAAGAAACTTTTCATCCTGAGATGTCCAGCGCTAACAGGGAATCTACCTACCTTTCTTCCTTCTCTGATCTCTCTTCATGTCTATAAATGCGGCCTCTTAGATTTCCAGCCAGACCACCACGAATACAGGAACCTTCAAACGCTAAGCATAAAAAGCAGCTGTGACTCTCTCGTTACATTTCCTTTAAGCCAGTTCGCCAAGCTCGACAAGCTCGAAATCGATCAGTGCACATCCTTGCACTCTCTTCAGCTCTCAAATGAGCATTTGCATGGTCTGAATGCCCTAAGAAACCTGAGAATCAATGACTGTCAGAATCTGCAGCGTCTTCCAGAGCTAAGCTTCCTGTCTCAACAATGGCAGGTCACGATCACGAACTGCAGGTATCTCAGACAGTCAATGGAACAACAGCATCAATATCATCATCCTCAGTTTCATCTTCCTAGATCAAACGTTTCAGGCTCACCGAGGTCTTATGGTTCACACAGATCATATGATTCACGTTCATCTTCAAGATATGACTAAACCTGATTCGGTCGCCTTAATCAAATACCTTTATCTTTGTTCCATTTCTCTGTGGCTCTTCCTTTCTAGTTTTGTACTACTGTTGTGAGTTTTGTAACAAGTGTTTTATTATCTTTTCCCCAGTCACAGGGATTTTCCAACTATAAAAAAGAACATTAGCACTTTGAATCAAATATAGAAAATATAAGGGTACAATTTGTAATAAACAAAAGGCTGATCTAAAACGGCCCAATGGGTTTAGGCGTTTAGCCTTAAGTTCATAGCCAAACACTCACCTTTTTCTCATATTCCAAAATTGATCCAAAATTGAAATTTTAACCCAAACAAAAGTACAAAACATACCCAAATGGGATGAGATAATATTTTAGAAAATTCCTGGAAAATCATAAACACATACTCCCTCTGTTTTTGAAAAGTTGTCGTTTTAACTGTATTTGGACAAATTAAAAAAAGGTATACAATGACTATATTAACCTCATAAAAATGACAAGTAATTATTTACAAATAATTTGTGTTCAATAAAATGAGGGTAATTTAGGTAGTTATTGGCATAAATTACATTATTACCTTAAAACGACAACTAATTTAAAACAAAAAAAAAACTCTAAAACGACAACTATTCGAAAACGGAGGGAGTATTACCTTATAAAGAAAGTTTTACAAAAAAAGTCAATACAAATCCACGGCAGCCAATGACTATCTATAGCTTTTTTTTTTTAAATACTAGGGGATACATTCGATAATTTAGTTTTAAATTATTTTTTAGTTTCTTTAGAATACATATGAAATAATCAAGTGATGTAGTATCTAACATATGTTTACAAAAACATGTATGGAACAAGTAATTGTTCAGTTTTAAGACTGTAGTATATATTATAAAGCCAAATTATTTGACAAAAAGTATGTCTAAAATCAATTTGAAAACAAATTCTATCTACTTCTACATTGGATGGATGACCACCGAGAGTATTCTCTTGAACAGATCCACCCCAAAGACCGAGTCTTATGAGCGGAAACCAAATAAGATGTTTCGATGGGGTTATATCAAGTGAATCCTCTTGAGCATCTTTACATGATTTAATCATCATGTCTTATGAGGTATCCATTTGTTGAAGTATGAACGTTTATTAAATCCTGCACATGAAGAGAAAGTTGGAATCAATGATCAAGTGCAAGAAGCAAGCAACAGAGGCGACACAAACAATGATCTGAAACAAAGTCAATTGTGGAAAAAAAGAAGGAAGCAACTAAGCAAAGAAAGGAAGAAGCAAGAGACCTACCTTTGTGTGATAAGTCAAAAATCATCAAAGGAAGCAAAAAGACAGAGACTATGCAAAAAAAAAAAAAAAAAAAAAGACAGAGACTATGCACAGAAATCTGCAATTAGTTGCCTGCAAAGGAGAGAAATTGGTAAAGAAATTGATCGAAGATAAACGGATGGGTGTTACGAAAAAAATCTGTCAAGTGATGGCAAAGCAGCTCACAAAAGAAGAATATAGTGAGTAGGCTAATATAACTATGTCAAGAAGACTTTTCAGTTGTTATCTCTCTAAGTTTTTTAAAACATTCTCTTGCTTTCACACTAAATAAAAAGAAACAAAATAGAGAGTGAAGAAGAGAATGAAAACAGAGAACTTGAGAGAAGAGAGGGAACGGACCTGGAGCTTGATGGAGAAGATCAAGAAGGTCCGACCTGAAACAGAGCGAAGCGACAAGAATTCAACACCATCATGATAAGCTTTTCAATCCTACCTATGCAACAAAGCCAAAATCACCACCATCATAATTATTATTCAAACCAAATATGGAATAAATCAAACCCAGGACAGTCACGTAGTAATTGCTTAACACTCCCAAACAAAATGCAGTGGTAAAAGTCTTCTTACAATCCTTTGAATAACAAAGAAAAAATTACTAAACTTGGTAAGAGCTATCAAATCTTTTAATGAGATCAGACATCAACTAAATAGTACCTCTAAGCGGTCAAGAAGACTCTCCGCAACAGCATAAAACCAACAAAACTTCAATTTCGTATAAGTATTATAGACAATCAACAGAGTCCCAGTATATCGAATTCAACGATAGTTTCAAGCAAACATATTCAATTTCTTGAAAACACAGAAGCAAAGAAACGAAAAAGCTACAAACCTTGAATAGCTTCCATTTATTTTTGGGCTTTGGCTTGCATATCGCGCAGCGCATCAGCTTCTTCCTCCATCTCTTTCAATCTCCTCTTTATCCCATCAAGCTCTTGATACCACGAAATCAAAACCGGAAAAAAACAGAAATATAAAAATGAAGTAAAAAATCAAATCGAGCAAACACACATAAGAGACAGAGAAGCAGACCTTAATGACGCCATCATCTGCGGCAAGCATATCCGGATCCAACAATGAATCGTTTCCTTCTTCTCCATCTCTCTAATAGCTTTCCTCTGCCTCCTTCATCGTGTGCGCGCATCTGTATGACTGTTTCTAATTTGTTTTTTTTAGTGCTTGGTATTAAATTTGCAAAAATAATCGAAGAAGCATTATCAAGCCAAAGGGGACGGACGCATGAGATTTAAGCTTGGTGACGTGGCTTGATAGATGTATTTTTAAATGGGTAATATTAGAAACTAGTCATGGAATAGAAAAGAATTAAGAGAATAGACTTGTGTCAGAAAACATAGGTAAATAACCTTTTGTGGAGTAGAAAAAATACTAAAATATCCTTCTGTTTTCTTGTTTTTACAATAATGCCGATGGCAGTAGTTACAATAACTCTGGTTGAACAAATCATGTGTTTCTCTGAAATAACACGACATATTAACAAAAACATACTATTCTCTTGAATAACACGAAATATTAACAACCATATATAATTGTTAACAAATTTCATGGATTTTTATTAGATAGCGTGACAAGTATTTATATATCAAAGGTAATAGCATATTTTGTCCTTAAAATACATGCATTTTAAAAAATAGACATGTGTTTTAAAATCAGATCTAATGTCTTATCACACCGGGGAGTGGTGGAGAAAGTCCGGCGAGAAGAGAAAACAGAGTACGACCAAGAGAGATGAAAGGGAGAGATTTTTAGGAAAAACAATTGTTAAAAAGAGATCTGGTAGTGAAGAGATTCGATGAGAAAAAGAAAGAATGAGAAAAACAAAGATTTCATGGTAAATGTGATGAAAGTTTTTAATAATTGTGCACAAGTCTTGTTGAACAATTCATGTGTTTCTCTTAAATAACACGATATATTTACAAAAAACATACCATTTTTTTAAATAACATGAAGTATTAACAAATAAATATAATTGTTAAAAACTTTCATGGGTTTTTATTGGATAGCGTGACAAATATTTATATATCAGTGGTAATAGCATGTTTTTTCCTTAAAATACATGCATTTTAAAAACTAGTCATGTGTTTTAAAATCAGATTTAATTTCTTAATTATCACACCGGAGAGGTGGAGAAATTCGGCGATAATGGAAAACAGAGAACGACCAAGGGATCTAGTAGGAAGATATGGGTAAAGAAAAAGAGCTCTAGTAGTGAAGAGATAAGATGAAAAGAAGAGAGATTGAGAAAAAGAAAAGATTCCATGGTGAATCTGGTGATGAATTCTGGCAAAAAGAAAGAAGAGAATCAGTGGTGATGAAGTCAAGAGGAAGCGACAGTGGAGAAGCCATGGATGTGGTGGTGGATACAATGGATGTGATGCTGGATACAAATGACCTATTTAGAGCTTATGGATCTGATAGTGGTTATCTCTGTAATGGAGTTGTTAGGGAGAAAGTGGTGGTAGTTTCGGAGAAATTAAAGAAATAGAAAGAGAGAGAAAGAGAATGAAAAAAAATGAAGGATTAGCTTTGGTTAGGGTAAAAGTGTCATAAATGGTGTACAAAAGTCTTTCTCTCTCTCATACTTTTGGTCTATGGCTATTTACTTAATTCTTTTGTAGTCAAAGATTAATTACTACATATTCTCTTTTTAAATACGATAGCTGATGTGGCAGCTTAAAAACAACTCTCTCAATTCACGTGAGAAGCTTTAAATAATCTTTTTTATTAATAAGAAATCCTATTATAATAAATCACAAGTCACTTTCCAAATAACTGCATATCTCTCCATTTGACACATGTCTTAAGTCTAAAATTTGACTATTTTACCTTTTTTTTACCACCAATTTACGACAAAAAAAAATAAAAACTGTCTCTCT